CCGCCTTCTCCACCCACCACACTACCGGTCCCATTTCACTCTTACTGAGAGTATTGTATCCGTAGCCTTCTTCTTTCAGGTTAATGCTTGTTCCTGGTTAAAGAGAAATTTCTCTGAACAGGGCCCTATCTCAGATATTATGATTCATTTACACTCTAACTTGAAGGAAGCTGATTATTCTAATCACATCAACAAATGAGGATTATGAATGTTTGGAACTAGAAAAAAAAAGAAGTAAATGGGGTACAGAGATTAGAGGTTCTGGGTAACAAAGCTAGACTTTGCCTAGTTAAAAAATATTGTTGTTTTGCCTAGGGTAAGAGTTAATTATAATAATTTGCTCTAATCATGAGCCTGTACCTCTTTCCCCAAATGCTTATTTCATAATTATGTTTGTCAAGTTGTTAAGGGTAATGACCCTATTATACCATCAGGGGTAAAAAAAAAAAAAAGAAAAAGAAAAACAGGTCAAAATAAAACAGATGTTCTATGAATTAGTGGAAGTTGGCTTTGTCAGAATTACTGAGCACACGGTTTCTGACTCGGACAGCATCTCTACAGCTGAACTAAGAAAAGTGTAGAGCCGGTCTGTGGGCCTCTCTGTGGCCATTTCTTGCAATTTGTCTGAAATTCACTGATGCTGGGCTGATAAACAGCAATCATGTGAATCGATGAAAGTGGTTGAAATGATCGGTCCTAGCACAGATCGGCGGCCTCATTAGATAAATCTATATACATCGAGGTAACCTCAGGTTGCTGCTCTAGCCCAGCAAGCAATGTTCTTTTTTATTTAAAGATAAGTATGTGAATATTGGTGGCAGGGCAGGGGATGCAATTCCGACCAACAACGTCTGCATTTCAAACCAAAGGAAACATTTCTTAAACTGAAGCTTTACTAACAGCTCATTTAGAAAAACCAGTAAACTGTAAAATGCATATTATATTAGCCATTCAGAAAACATTTATTAGCATATTAACTTTTATGCTATGTAAATGTAATAATATCAATAAAGTACCAAATTAAAAATTCAAACTATGATGATTATTGCATGAGGCATGACTATGAGCCTGAATGGGAAAGGAGAGCTTCGGCTGGAGAAACTCACCCCGCAGACTGGCCTCTTGTTTGAAGGGCTGGCCCAGGACTAGGCAGTTTCATCCCTCTCCAGTGTCAGTCTTCCCTAACATCCTCCTTTCCCATCCTCCTCCTTCTCTTCTCTGACATTCCCATGGTGGCCACTGAATAAGAGGCCAGCCTCTGACCCCCTCCTAAGCCATGGTTTATTTTGTCTTTAGTTGGAAAGGCAAAGTGAACTGATTGCCCAGGTCCTTTAAAATGTGCTTCCACTACTGTGCACAAATCTTTGGTGTCATCACCTCTCTACCTTCAAACAGTCTTCTCCACCTAGCTCTTCCAGGGAAGTTCAGCAAGGGCAGGAGGCAGATCCACTGATGTCTTTCGAAATCATCACGTCTGGATCATGCCAAGCTGTTGTTTCAGCTTTTTATTATTTAATGCATTAATTTATTGATCACAGTATCTTAGAATGTTTTTTTTTTTTTTGGTTTGTGTGACAACTTATGAGTTAATAGAAGGCATCAGGATCCAAAGGCACACAGAAGGAAAGGGAAGGGAGATTAATAATGAAACAGAGATGTGCATGAAAGGACAAAAGAGCAGAAAGGTCACAATGGCGTACACTGAAAGTTAACTTTGGGTGGACTTAGGCACTTTTATTTAGGACTTTTATTTTCTAGTTCTCTAGGAAGGATTATATACTTATTTGTGCCAGAGCAAAACTTTTCGCCATATATTATTATAAGTTTTGAAATACAGCTTGATTGAAGAGGTCTCTGAAAAACAATCTTTGTGCTTCGTCTGCTGGTATCTCTGCATTTTCCGGTGTTGACACACACACACTCAGGTGAATGACAGCTGATGAAGTATGGATGGGTCCCAGCATTCTAGGGCTTCCCCGGTGACAGCTCAGTATTCCTCACTAATCGTTGAATGAAAACACTTCCACGCATAATGAATCTGGCATTTCCCCAGGTGCACATGCAACTTTTCTAACAGTAATAAAGGCAGGCATAGGCCCATGTATACAAACTATTGTGGCTTGAAAATGTTTTCGCAGAGCGCATCAGGAGGGTTATGTTGAAGAAGAGTATATGGATTCTGAGGTCATTAAAAGTTTACATTAATATTCATTATTATATTATAAGCACATATTAGAAGCCTAAAATGGTTGTTTAAGAAATTAATACCATCCCCTGCTATATAAGCCCTAAATGGAGTCAGCACAATTTAGATTTGAGTAATTGCAGTTCCAAAATTGAAAGTTTGAATTAAAAGAAACACACACGTCTATAAATAGGTATACACAGAGATATATACATATGTATACATATATGTATGCAGGACAATGATGTGATTGAACTGTCTATGAAGTTTATTACTCATCTCAGAACTGAAACCTGACATCATTTGGTCTAATTTTACAGATGAGATCATGGAATCTCCGACACGAGGATTCAGCCCACGCAAACCCGGGACAGTGGTCCCTGAACTGGCGACAGGTAACTTGACATGCCAGCACTTCAAGTGCAACTGCAGTAACCCCTTCGACCCAGTGTCGATCCTGGATCATGCTGACATTTGCTTTGGATAAACTAGGTTACTATAGCCAGTTACTTAAACACATCTGAAGAAAACACTTTTATAAATGTTTAAGCAGAAGGATATTATGGAAAGAGACATTGCAGGATCTTTTGGAAGACTGGTTTTCGGAATCTCTAGAAGTCTAAAACTTTGTCTTGTTAACATTTATTATGTGACTCTGGACAAGTCATTTAACCTCTCTGGTCCTCTTCACTCGCACAGTCAGAATAATGGTACTCACAACACTTGTTTATTTCCTAGTTGTCACATTCTCACACCACACACTATTACTACCATCACCGCCACACATTGTAACACTACTTTTGCCATTACTCAAAGCTTACTATGGGCTCAAACTCTGTGATTGACTTTTTTGTTGGGAACCGCCCTGACTGGTATCAGAGGCTGAAACCCCCGCCTAGGCTAAAGCTAAGGGAACGCCCTTGGAACCGTGAGCCAGCAAGGAGACAAAAGCTTATCTCCCTGGCAGGAATGCTGCTTCTGCTGCTTTATTCATGACTGAACCCCCCAAAAGCTTGGTCGGTTAGCCAAAGACGGGTAAGATTCCCCACGGGGGGAACGACCTAAGCCAGGCACGATCACTTTGGGAGGCCCCCCAAAAGAAGGACTTGGGGGGCTGCAGCAAAAGGGGGTGATGGACCCTCACTCCTCGGCTTTGACAAAGTCTGAGTTCTCAGCGTCTGGAAGAAAATCTCCTTATCTCTCGGTGGCCTTAGTTCCCTTGCTCCACCTAAGCCTGAAACAATGACAGGGTGGTACAGCTCGGTACTGGGAAGTGCGGATTTCCCGGGGTGATCAGGCCTAAGAAAGAACATGTAAATTACTGTGAAACCTTCTTTGTTTAGAATGCTCTCAGTTGAATGAGAAGGGTCTTAGGAGGAAGTTAGTTTGTTCCTCAGTCTTACAGCTCTTTGACCCCCAACTCAATAGACCGGCAGAGTTCTTTGTTTTCTATAGTTCCTTACTTCCCCTAATGAGTACTGTACTTTACCTGAATTATTATGCAGCATGAGCCCAATAAAAGCAGGTATGGACTGTAAATCGGCGCGCTCCTCACTAGAAGGGGTGGCCATTTCGTCCCTACTTCTCCACAGAAACTAGTTTGTCTCTGTGCATGTTTTTTCTCGCGTGTTTATCGTCGAGCCATCCACAGCGTTCCGTGGTCACTGCTGGCCGGTGACCCACGCGCAACACTTTTTATGCCTTGTAACTGTACCATACCTTCTCAATAGTCCTGTAAACTAAGTGTTCTGATTCTCTCACTATGGATAAAGAAACATCTCAGTCATTAAATAACTTGCCAAAATCACACAGGTATTAAGAGCCCGAATGTGAGTTGGAATCCAGATATAACTCTTAATTTCATTTTTGATCCACTATATCCTGGTTTCCTCTAATATATCATATATACTTTTATATATACATATATAATGTAAATAATGTATATTACATAGAGATACATTACTCATTTTATACACTCACATATATAAATGTTTTAAATTCTAAAATGTTATACTAATTTCTTTTTTAATTTCAAGGTCTAATATGTGGCACATAGTAGGTATTTAGTTACTATTTGGGAAAGAAGGAATTCACATATGAGAAGTAACTAAAGTCATTTTGAGTAACTGTTAATTAACATGTATGTCAGCAATAACAGTGACTATTAAATCCTCATCTTCTCTAAGATTATGTTATCAAAAATTACTCTAGAGAAACACATATAGATAGACTAGCCTTAGGTTCAATGCTAAATACAGAATTGGCAATGGCAGAAAAACAGCTGCTTCCAATCAACAAGGGCTAAAATCTAACCCTATGGTCTGGACAAAAGGAAAGAGAAAAGGTCCCTTTAAAAATTACATATGGTTCTGATTTTTCAGGTGGTAACACATTATCTCCCAAGTTTGAAATTTCAAAAAAGCTACACTGTACTTTCCTATCAAAACAAAAGAATAATATTTGCTGTACTTATTTCTCTTTACTCTTAGATATGAATAAATATGAGGATGATTATTGGATAGTAACACTCAGCATGAACAAAACTTTTTTAGAGTTGAGGCGAAGGGGCAGGAGGTATCAGCAAAGATGCACAGAAGTCTCATTTCTAATCAAAACACAAATTTTCGACCACGTAAAACGCCCCCGGCTTTCCCCTCCTCTCCTCCCGGAGAACAGTGGACTGAACGGAAAGATGCTGGCATGTGTGCCAGCGCAGGGCTAGAATGACACGTCTGGGGACAGGAGATGCCGCTATTTCCATTATCCACTGAACACCTTGGCAAATCTTATTCCATCCTGAGAATGTGATACTTACTCTTGAACTGCTCTGGCTATGGAAAGGGCCGTAGATCCAGTTTCATTAACGCTATCTAAGGTCACATTTGGCAGGTCATCATCATCACTGTCACTTTTACTTTGTCTGGGAGATAGGCCTCGGGGGTCCATTTGTGCTGGGAAGAAAAGGCATATATATGAATTAAAATTAGTGTGCAGTAAGTTAACCTCATCCTGGACCAACATCAAGCATGGAAGGTCTCTTCTGCGTATATCACACACACTGAATTCTCTAGAAATCCCAGGGATTCGTGAAAGCAATGTAATTTATGTACTGAGCACTCACTGACTCTTTTCCCTTGTTCATTCCATTTACCAAACCTCCATGGCTCTCAGTGGTTTCAGGGTATGGCTAGAGAATAGAAACTGTAAAACCCAGGACAAGATCTACCCCTGAGCGGTCACAAGCTGAGTAGGGAGCTCCTAAGTTACTGTTCGACCCTCTGGCTTCTCCTTGCTTCTGCTGCTGGAGTCCTGGCCACCTTACTGCCCTTGCTTCTAGCTCTCACTATAAGTTTAAAGAAGAGCAGGGTTCTCAAGACTTAAATCAAGTTTTAGGTGTTTTTTCGCACTTCAGTGAATGATGATCTTGCAGTTCATTACTGCAATCTGAGAGCAGTAAAACGACAGAAGTAGTAGTAGCATTTTGCCTATGTGCTTATAAGTACTCTTCAAGAAGGCATTTCCAGATAAAATTCTCCTCCCACTGTGAACTTGCCAAAGCATGAAAAGGCCTGATGGTCTGAGCCCTGCTGACCAGGACCGTTGGATCCCTTCAAACGAGAGACTGGCAGTCAACATTTCATACCTGAACTCATATTTTTAAAAATTAGATTTCAGTTCCGCCTCCTTCTCTCTGTGAGCAGCTTTAATAACCCCTGTGTAGGATTCCCATCGGCCCTAACATCATGCACAAAACACACACTCCAAAATAAAAGTACTACACTCGCTGCACAATTGTGTTGTTAGAGCGCACGGCTTTCGCGCCAGCCAGCTCCAGCCAGAACGCTGCTCCTCAAACCTGCCCACATACCATTTCTAAAGCCACTACAGCTTGTTAAAAAAAAGAAAAAGAGAAAATCCACTTAAAATCATGGTTACAATGACATTTGAGTACATTTCAATTTTATTGTTTTCTCAAATAATATTTTTCTTACCGCTAGTATTTCACCTTTTTTTTTACCCATGAACAGATAAATGTTTGTGATTCTACCTAATATTTACAGTATGAATAGAAAAACTATACCTGAATAGTTTCAACATGTTTGTAATCAAACTTGGTTAGGAAGGAAAGTGTATCTGATGAACCTAGTGCACTCCTGTATGTGCCACACACTGTTCCTATAAGTACGCACACACTAACGTGCAGTTTGAGCAATGAAAGTGCTTGGTAATTGTTGGTTAAATTAAAAAGAAAATAACTCAAATAATCTAAACCAGGGGTCCTCAAACAAGAGCAAATTTTCCCCCACGAGATACTTGGCAATGTCTGGAGACATTTGGATTTGTCACAACTTGGGAGGGAGATGTTACTGGCATCTTTTTAAAAAGATGTTTTTCTCCTCCCCAAGGACGTTTTTCATTGCTTTTAGAGAGAGAGGAAGGGAGAGAGAGGAACATCGATGGGAGAGAGAGGAGCATCGATGAGAGAGAGAGAGAGAGAGAGAGAGAGAGAGAGAGAGAGAGAGAGAGAGAGGGAGGGAGAGACATTAATTGGCTTCTTCCCTCATGTGCCTGGACCAGAGTTCAAACTCTCAGCACAGGCACGCATCCTGCCTGGGAATCAAACCCGCAACACTTTGGCTCTGGGACAACACTCCACCCCACTGAGCCACACCGGCCAGGGCTGTTACTGGCATCTTCAGTGATGCTCCTAGACGTCCCAGAATACACAGGACAGTTGGTCCCTTATGTCGAAAAATTAACTAGTCTAAAAAGTCAAGAGTGTCAGGTTGAGAAACTCTGAGATACATATTTTTAGAGTTTGGGTATAGAAAGATGTTACTTTACATCTTATGACTTTCAATTGCATAACTATGTTCTAGTTTCAGTCAGTAGCAAAGAAATTAAATCATATATTAGATTATCCGTATTTTCTGTCCCTCAAATAAAACAATTCACCGTCATGTGACTCAGCCCTCACCAGTTCCTCAAAGACAGCATTCACTTCCTCAAATGCCAGAAGGATCAGTGCCGCTCACTACAGAGTTTTTGAATGTTTTCTTTGTCCTACATTTGATGGGACAAAAGACTTTTCCACTTAATCTCCAGAGAAGATTTCCTGGAAGAGGGATGTTGGAGAAACTCTTTGTGGAAAAAAGGAACAAGTTTCTCAACCATCTGATGGCAGAGACCCTTCAGCGTTCAGTCACTCCAAAGGCCCCGAAGGTACCCTCTCCTTTACGACTGAACAGAGCGTATGGGAGAAGACACTGCACAGCTCACGGCATGTGAGGTAAAGATGCACACGCAGCACTCCCGTAGCACAGAACACGGCGATGATGCAGGCATCTCAACCAGGAATTCACAGACAGTTTCTTTTCGGCAATCTGTTCTAGAATGATTCAGTGAACAATCAGTCATAATTCCTCAACTTCAGCCAAGAAAATGAGGAACAGATCCATCGAGGCTTCCAAATCACATATTGTGTGGCATTACGTTGCCTGTAAATGTCAACAATTTAAAGTTGTTGAAACATGATGCACTAAGACTCCTTTGCCAAGATGCCAAAATCAACAAATAGCTGAAGAGAAGGGAATAATGTTGGTGATCCCATCAGGTCCAAGACAATTAGAGCTCTCACAGGTAAGTAATACAACTCAAGGAAGACATGGGCAAGTAACTGACAAGCAACCTGACTGAAAGTTCAAGTCCAGCCAAACCAAAGACTCCAAATAACTGGGGTGAGAGTTGATCATCTAAATTATATTCTGTTTATACCTCGCTGAAAGTTTAAAACATGTTAAATATGATATTTTTTGATGTACTTTTCAAGAACATTATAATTGAGGATTTCTTTCCAATATTTTCAATCAATATTATGAAATACATCTGCTGCCATCCCGCTGAGAAAGTCTTTTTACCGTACCTTCAGCCAAGTTGAGGAAGTAATTAGAAGGATTTTGAAATCTGCATTGCTGATTAGGTCAGATGATTAGCTTGTCTGCATACTTGCATAATTCCGCACACCCTTTGTTAAATGTGGGATGGGGGCATCTACCCTGGTGAACCCCCATTCGTCTTTGAGTTTCTCAGCTCATTTAAGAAACACCCATGTCCGGAGTGCCCCTTCAGAGGAAATGGAACAGTAACCTGGGCACCGGAAGCGAAAACGTATCATGTCCCTGCCTGAGAGTGCAGTGGATGACCTGTGTGCACCGATTTACATTTGAGATCTTGTTCCTCTTAAATGAAGACGGACCCTACAGTTCTGGGTGTGCCCGCTCACTGCTGGCGGAGGTGCCATCCCTGAGTCGGAGGCACTGCGGGACGCCGTGAGTGTCATTCAATGAGACAAACTCCCCAGGAAGATGACTGCAGAACTCCAACACCTGAAGCTGATGCTGCCCACTCTGACTTTCAAACAGGCACCTCCAGTAAAGTGCTCCTGTAAAGATCACCCTGACTAACGATGATAAATGATTTGTGACACATTTGCCATTTTTACCACCTCGCTGTCATGTAAAGATGCCCAGCACAGCCACAGAAACATGGTGCTCAGTGGGCAGCTGAACCCCAGTGATGTAAGCGAGCCATGCTGAGCTCACCGGCCACACCACAGCCACCTGTGCCTGTGTAGGTGACTAGCACAGCAATTTCCTGGCTGAACCCATTCCAAATATTTGACTTACAAAACTCTGAGCAAATAAAATAGCTGCTATTTTAATCTCCTGAGTTTTTGGGTGACTGGTTACATAGCAATACACAATCAATGCACCATGTTACTCTCCAGCTCCCTCCAGAGATTTCCTGGCAAAGATGCAGACAAACTGTGGCTGCAGTCAGAGCCAGCCCATCACACAACTCTCTACTCCCCTCCCAAGAGGAAGCCTGGCCTTGACTGGTGTATATTTAAGTGGGCTACTAATACAGCAAAAGAAACTATGAGCCTCAGATTATATTCTACATTATTTCCTTCTCAAGCCAAAACATGCAAATGTATTTACAGGGGCTTTGGCTTCAGAAGCATCTTCTTTGATCCTTGACTGCGCCTCTGGTGGGCTTCTCCCAGAATGGGCCAGCAGCTGGCCTTCCTGCTCAGGAGAGCAAGACTTTCTGGCCCAAGCTTGGGGTTGACAGGCGGCTCACCCCAGTAGATCCTCCCAAAGCTCTGTTTCACGTTTGACTCTCTTCCACTCACAGCAGACATGTGAACTCGATGTCTCCCTGTGTAATGGTGGGCTGACACCAACACCGTGGCATCAGTGTGCGTTCTCCCCCGCCACCCCGCTTCCTAGGCCCCATCAAAGGATTAAACGCCCTTCTAACTTCCTTAGAAATAAACTGGCCTATTCAGCTATACTTAAAGGAAAAGAAGTTTTCCCATAAGTCACCCTATTAAATGTGCACAAGATAACAATTTATGAACATATACTGAAACCCAGAGATTAACTTTTCCTAACCAGGATGAATCACAGAGGAAATTATTCAGTCCCTTTCGCCTCCACCCACCAGGGCCGCAGGGCAGAGGAGCGAACGCAGGTGGATGGAGGGGGTGTGAGGCAGCCAGCAGCTGCGGCGGCGGGGGTGCCCTCAGCCTGTCCTCCCCTCTTCAGCCACCGACAGGCTGCCTGCTCCCCGCAGATGCCCTCGCTGTTCGCCCTGCCAAGGCTGAAACAAGCCCCAGTGAGGAAGCCTTGGCTTCCGGCAGGGCTGCTGCTTTCCAGGAGAAGGAAGGGCAATGGGAGAAGGAGGGCGGGCTGGGAGAATGAACACATGGGAGACGGAGATGCGGACAGAAGTCACAGCACCCAGGACTCAGTGCAAGCATCCTCCTGTCTCAGCTGATGCAGGCATTGCTCCAAAAAGGACAGCCACAGCATTGCTCCAGGATAAAACCACAGCTCTGGCTTCAGAGAACACGAGCGTGACTCTGGCCCTGTCACTGGCAGCCATC